CCCTAACTTTATTTTTAATATCATTTTTATGGATCCACTCTTGGGAATTACATATTGTCTGGATTTACTTAATTAACTCATACATATTGTTTCGTACTGGTCGATTCATTATTTTGAGATTATACTTTAAGGGTGTAAATTATTGACGAATGCAAGTGGCCCCAAGATGGTCATGTGTACGCCTGCTCAAGAAAACAAGCTGCTGTTAAGCTTCAAATGACTTTAGTCTTCATTTGGCACAACACTTTTTCTAACAGTTATGTATCTAAAAATGTAAATTTATTATAAATAATTAATTTTGGTTAATTGTTTTAATGTAATTAATAATTTTAACTAATATTTTACATTTTTTTTACTATATATAAAGAAAAAAAAAACCCTAAAATTACGGCACAAGTTAGTTAATCTATTATTGACCGCATCTCGTTGGGGAGATCTCTTGGTGGTGTCACCAACTCGAGGTGTTCTAACCCTGACAACTCTTTAGTCACGACAGGGCAACGTAATTTGTATTCTATTTCCCTTGTTTTTTTTATTTTCAAGTACCATACCTTGCTTTCATTCGCAAATAAGCGTTGGTGGGAGAATTACAGTCTAGATTTAGTATTCTCTTTTGGGGTTAATTCCTTTATGAGGACCGGAAACTATACCCTTTTGATGACAAGTTGCGCTCAACTTGTGAATCAATTACTGGCTTAACAATATTCAAATTTATCTTGGTTAGCTTTTACATTTTTTACACGGTAATAACCCAACTAGAATATAATTATATATATATATATATATATTATTTTGGTTGCAAAATATAAAGTAACCATCTCTCATTTCTTATTCTACTCCATTCGTATGTTATGCAACTTAAATTTAAAACTTCTTATTTTTTATAAAAAGAGATGATCACTGAATTATTTAAATCGTTGACGATTTTAATTATATAAACAATTTACTTTCTTCTTTACTGATTAAGAAGCAAGATATTCATCATTCATGAAGAAATGATTTATTTAATTTGGATTTAGTTGTCATTTCGTCATGTTCAAGTTGTAATGCATGTCGCTTGCACCCATGGAATCTGACTGAAAGCACACTAATTAATATTTTAATTAATTAGTTAATTGAAATTGACTCTCAATTTGGATTTCTTTTAGTGGTGTTTAGATTAATTGTTATTGTTTACCCGATTATATTTTAAACTAATAGACTTTTTTTTGTTGTTTTTATCTTATTATTAGAGATTTAAAGATCATTTCTTATTTTACCTATTTTATCCTTAAAAAATTAAAAATAGTAAGATTTTTTCATGATATAATAAATAATTAAAATTAAGAGATAATTATATGAATAAAATAAAAAAAATTATTTTTCTCATTTAAAATATAAAAAAATTATTATTCTAGAACAAATTTTAAATTAAAAAGATTTATTATTTTGAAATTAACATCTGTTTGATTAAAATAATTAATATCTCTTTATAAAACTCCAAAACAAAAACTATTTTGCTCTTCTTAACATATAGGGTACAGAATAAGGAAGATCATCCCATGTATGTTTCCCAAGAAAATAAAGAAGAAAAAACCAGCAGAAAAACCAAAAGGAAAAACTAAAGAGATTGCTCGGAAATTGAATCCATTACATAAGATAACTTTAAGAACAAGGAAAAACTTGTACATTCATTGGCTTAATTTCTTTTTGTACAGCAACCATTGAGTCCAAACTCGAAACCTTAAAAAAGAAAAAAGCAAGATTCACCATAAATTACTTTAGTTGCATTCATGAATGGAAACCCGAGTCTCTTAAGATTCACTGAAACACCGGAGTACGAGGGTTGTTTCCATCCAGGGGCGAGCATAGAAGACTTAGATCACGAGAAAACAGAGTGCTTTACATGAACAGGGCTGAAGGACGATTGGATCCGGTGGCGGAAGGGAAGCTGTTGAATGAAACGCCCATGACGGGGACGGCAAAGCTCGTCTCCATCAAGAATCTCTGCTGAAAAGTCTCTATAGTGGAACCTGCCTCCGCAATGTCCTTGATCAAATTTCTGTAGTATTCCTTGAGCTTCCTAAGCATGCATGTGTACTGCAACTTGAGCCACCTCAGTTTGATCCTTCTCAGAATCCTAGCCAGGGAAAATCCTCTCTTGTGTTTCTTCCCGCTGCCGAGTCGAATTGTCGGAGGTTTCCGCCTCCGAAGGATGGTTTTTCGCCGTGTTGACCATCGGAAAGGGGTGGTTAATTGGGTTGGAGGTGGGGCTTTTGGGTTGGTTTGGTCATCCGCAGCCATTTTTGGTGTATCAGAGACTCAAGGGAGAGAGGAGAAACAAAGAGAAATCTAACAAATAATAGGAAGGTGTTTGAGCAATTGTTTAAGTAGAGAAAAGCATCTTTAGCCTAGAGTACCATTGAGAATAATTAAAGGCTTCCTAGATCAAAATGAGTTTTTTTTTTTTTCTTTTTTTAAATACAAATTTTCGGTGAAAACATGTATGTATTGTACTTTAACATATATTTTTTATTAAAAAATTATGCTTTTAACTTGTATTATAAATTAAAAAACTCAATCAAATTTCCTTTTAGATTAAGAAATTATCTTTATTTTCCTTACATAAAGTAAAAATCAAGATAGTTGACATTTTTAATGTTCAATTTTAACCATAAAATGAATGAAATTTAAATAAGACTTGTATTATGTTTCATATATTTTGTGGTTATTATTCAATATGATGATATTTTTAATACCATAACAACTTGCCGAAGAAAAAAATTTATTATTAATATATAGAAAATGAAGACTATTGACTCTATTCCATTAAGAATGGTAATTAATCACATTAATTTCTCTTGGTGAAACATTTCATTCTCTACGAAGTTGCTTAAGCTTGTGAATGATTCTTTTTTTAGTTCTTTCATTGGATAAAGTTTAAACTAAATATTTGTCACATCCTTGAAACATTAGAATCAATTTTTCTAATCCCAAATGTTTTTACTAGTTTAGAATTGGATTAGGAAAATTCAAGCATCTACGTCCATATCTTTTCTCACATGCGAGAATAAAACTTTTGGAGTCTTTACAATTATTTCAGGGATATCTCAATCCAAAATACGTATTTATTTCTTTTGACTTCCGATTGCCTACCCTTTAGAGCCGCAATTAATTCCATAAAATCTCGAGCAAGAAATTAATGAGAAGGAATGACATCTTGAAGCAATATTAATTGCAATTCCCTGGAAAAAGAATAGTTTTTTCTTTTCTTGTAATTGAAAAATGAATAGCTTGTTCATATTAAAATTATGGGTAGGTTATTGTCATATTCCAAAATGTTATTGTCACACTACTTTTACTTAGTTGACTATTTTACCCCTTATTGATTGTATCTTAAATGGAACCTTTCTGCTGCCAAATTCCAAATGCATGGTTAAAACCCTCATCAAATCACAGTTCAATCCCTTGATAATTCTTATCTTACAGACCCAAAACCCTTTACAAAAAATTCCTACAAACTAGAAATTCACATCCTTTGCAAAATTTGATTTGTGGTTTTGCTCAGGCAGCAAAAAAACTAAAAATAATAAAAAAAAAATTATGGGTTCACTGGATTAGATGATTATTGATGTTTAATTTTCTGGGTAATGTGGGTGCAATTCCAATTTGTAGAGGAGCTTGGCCGGAGAATTGCATATATGCAAGCAGAAAATGGAACCTTATAACAATCACTCAACAAGTTATAAAGCCAAAAAACTGTAGGAGCAACAACGGCACCATCACAATTACGAGCTCGGCCTTTCCTCGTATTCTCTGAACCTGCGGATCAATACTCAAAACAATCATTGTTCTCCCAATTTGACTCTCGGCCTTCCGGGTTTGGATTTTCCAGACCCATTTCAAGGAGATTCTGGGGTGGGTGTTTCGTTTTCCTGATATGGTCACTCTGATCACAAATGGATTTCGATTTTCAAACTTCGGAATGATGCTATTCCGGTGGCAAGTTTGCAAAGATGAATGGATGGGTTGCCGAGTATTATTTATTATTATTATTTTTTAAAGTTTTTCTATAATATACTGTATATAAAAATATAAAAATTAATTTTAATTTTAATATAAATACTAAATAAATAAACTTAATTAAATAATTATTTTATTATAAATTCATAAAATATATTTATTTATTACCCTTTTAACCTTTATTTTTAAAATACAAATTAATAAAACTTCCTTTATTCACGAATGAATTGTTTGATGGGCGTTGGGATATAACCGTGGGAGGTTAGTCCCAATTAAGCTGCAATTAATATAGGGTAAAATAGTCATTAGCTATGTACGTAAATATGGTGTGATATTAATATTTCTAGGGTGCATAAATAACGCTACCCTAAAACATTTTCTATCTTGCTTTGTTCGTTGTGACATCATGCATTACGCAGCCCATGAGATCTATAAAATAATAGTACTTGAGAATCTTCTATAATTTATTTATTGTAATTTTGGAGACATATGAGGGTCAGCGGTTCAGTGGTTTATTGCAGAAACAAAAATAATGTCATTAAAATATTAAGTTGTTATCGTATTTTTATAATTACAATAATTTTTTTTTAAATGTTTATTTATAATATTATCTATATTATTTAATGACATATTATAATTATAAATTGAAATTAGTATTTATCTGTTACCTTTTAACCATCTTACCTCCTAAAAATTAAAAAATATATATTTTAAAATTACACAATTTTAATAAAATACTATAAGAAAGGAAAAAAAATACTATAATTCATATTTTAAAAATATGGTATTTTAATTTTTTTCAATAAAAATTTATTGAAACGATGTAATTTTAAAATAATTTTTTTTTAATTTTAAAAAGATAAAATAGATAGACACTAATTTTTTATAAATTTATATTTTTATGTAATATTATAACTGTATCATTATTGTTATATTTATATATTAATATCTTATTTGGCAATTTGAATTTAAAACGGAATTATTTAATGGAAGGGCCTCCAAAATTAGATAACTTATCTTTCATTTAATAATAAATATTATGCAATTTAATGTAATCCAAATTAAACAATATTTTTTCTTATCAATAATTCATTCAAGCATACTTCATTTTTTTTTTTAATATAAAATTGAGGCATCACAAATGGATCTACCAAAATTCCTCAACTTCGCCAATAATTCAATGCTAAATTAATCCCTTTTTCTTTATCATGATTTTCAAGTCTCAACAAATGCCATACTTTCTGTATCCTTTTTGACAGAAAACAATCAACAAAATGTCCAATACTTGGGCAGAGAAGACGAGGGGCATATGTTCGCAACCATGCTTTCCACGTACTTTCACAGCATCAGCGGAACAGCAATTGGGTGCAAATGGGAGCAGTTACATGCTAGATTTTTTTAATTATTGCCTGTGAATCAAAAGGGGACCTAATATTTGCATATATTCTTTTTAATTAATTGAAGTCAGTCTGATAAAAAAGAAGGTAAATTAATTGTGGTCGATTTGAAACAAAATTTTCATATTGTACCTGATTCTCAATGCTCCTTTGAAATTCTCTATTGTGAAGAACAAATAAAGATGAATCTAGCGAAATAAATTGATATTCATATATATAAACTTAGGGTTAAAAATAAGCTGTACCCATTGAGTTCTCTTTAAGCTCTGCAACTGAAGACTCCCAATCACATCTACATTTAAAGGTGCAACAGAAAAGGGAAGAATCCCCATCTTCCTCGATTTGGAATTCTGAAACAAAGACAGCTAACCTTGTTCGCCATTTTCTTAATTGAAAATTTTCATGTTTGGTGGCAGAAAAAAAGAAAAGAAAAGAAAAGAAATGGGAACAACAGATGAAATGAAAAAATAAACGTCGCCTGAGAGATTCGAACTCTCGCGGGGAAACCCCATGTACTTAGCAGGCACACGCCTTAACCACTCGGCCAAAGCGACTTTATGCTAAGGGCTGAGAAATGAATTCATATAATTCCTAGTAATTCGTTTTATTTTCTTCTTACGAGATGTCCACTGAAAGCATGGAATCGAAGCATTCTTTTTGAACTAAAATTCACTTCGGAATCAAATGTCCATGGATGTTCTCGATCTCTCACATTTCATCCATCCCTCCACATGATTTATGATGATAAATGGATACATTATGAACAAAACACAATTATAAGATGAAAGTAGAAAACTCAAAAAATAAAGACCCCAATACGCAATGTCCTTTCTTCACCCTACTACATTAATTCTATACAAATTCAAATGGTCTCCTTAAGTCCTTGGATCCACCTTACAGCAACCGGACTCCTCACTTGATGAACTCCATCACTCCACTCAATCCACCCAAATTTCTGGGATCCAACTTCCAACAGTCCCAACCCAACACCACTTCTAAACTCAACCTCGTAGGACAATGTCAGGTTCTTGGAACCGAACTCAAGTTTACTTGGCCAGACACTGATCTCAATCCCTTGAGGTGCATTCACTTTAACTTCATATACTGCACCCGCGGAACTCCCCACATTCTTTACTGTCCTCTTGTATCTAACCACATTGGTGTCTGATCCGAACACAACTGAGAATGATGGGTAATTCAGGTTTCCTGGAGAAGACAGCTCCCCGTCACATATGTCGGAACCTGCTGGCTCTCCAAGGAAAATTGCGATTTGGAATGAGTCATACCCAATGGAGCAGAGGAATGCAATGTAATCATCTGCTTCAATGTCGTATACCAATCCCGGATTAAGAGCTCTGTTCGGATCAACATGGCCAGCTCCGTGGATAAACGGGGTTGATTCTTCACCTGTTGCAAGATCCTTAATGTCATTCCCGGAGCTATCAACGGTGTAAGCAGTAGTCATAAGGGCGGATTTGATGGCTGCCGGTGACCAATTGGGGTATGCCTTTCGAAGCAGGGCAGCCAATCCGCTGACATGAGGACAGGACATTGAGGTGCCTGAGATTATGTTGAAATCGACTCTCCTGGGATCAATATCGAGATCAGTTGGCGCAGTGAACCCGGTCCAGCCGGCAAGGATGTTGACACCTGGAGCAATGACATCCGGCTTGAGGATCTCTGGGGTCAGGTGGCTCGGACCCCGGCTAGAGAAAGCTGCAACCTTTGGGGCTGGAGGGTTAGTGCCAATCACTGTCCCACGGAAATTGATTGTGGCCGTAGGGAACTGACTGGACTTGATGTAATTTCGTATCTCATTGCTGGCTTCTTCCCCTACCATGGTTGCCGGAATCAGATGGGAATCAGCAATCAGTTCTTCACCGTTCCCTGCAATATTTGCAAGAATCATTCCCAACCCACCAGCAAGCTTCACCGCACTTCCCTTTTCAACTCTGGCATTCCCTCCCCTGTCACATACTACAATTTTCCCCTGAACTTTCCATGGAGTTAGACTGCCTATATAGCAATAACTATTTCCAGCATCGCCAGCATATACGAGAGGAAGCTGGAAATCAGGAAGAGGACCTCCGGAATACAGCGACACGCCACTGAAGATCCTTCCATCGCCGAGAACAGCATCAGCTGGAAATTCTCGATCAATTGTGGACGCACCAACGGTTAATAACCAAGGCGCAACGTTAACGGCGGTGAACGGACCAGGACCAGAATTCCCAGCAGAGCATGAAACAACAATTCCGTGCTGTGCAGCACCAAAACCCCCAATTGCTATGGAATCGTGATAGTACTCAGGAGCATACCCAGTTGCTCCGACGGATAAAGAGATCACATCAACTCCATCGGCGATAGCTTGGTCCATGGCTGCTAGTATATCGGAATCGAAACACCCAAAACTCCAACAGATTTTGTAAGCGGCAATTCGAGCTTTCGCTGCCATGCCGCGAGCTTCCCCATAGGCGTATTGGTAGAAACTGGCGTTGACCACCACAGATCCGGCAGCCGTAGAAGCAGTGTGTGTCCCATGGCCTTCGGTATCCCGTGGTGATTTAGATTCCTTTGACTCATCCATGGGTTTTCCAAGATACGACACATATCCTCTGTAATACGCTCTAGCGCCGATGATCTTCCGATTACAAGCGGATGCCGGAAAATCGGGCCCTGCTTCGCATACACCCTTCCATCTCGACGGAACAGGGGACAGATCCGAATCCGAGAAACTCCGACGCTCCGGCCAAATCCCCGTGTCCAGAACTCCGATTATCACACCATCGCCGTAATTCGAGTTCCCCCAAAGGCCAATTCCGTCGGAGAGGCCCAAAAAGTGAGGAGTTCGAGTGGTGTGAATCTGACGCGCCTGGTCCTGAATAACAGAGAGGATACCAGGAAGCTGGCGGAGTTTGAACGCCTGTTCGGCGGTTAAACGGGCGGAGAAGCCATTGATGGCGCGCTCGTAGGTATAAAGAAGCTCGGTGGGGTGGGAAGAAGGAGGGAGAGAGTGGATGATGGAGGTATACCAGTGACGGGGAGAGGAAAAAAAGGAGGGTTTGTGGGATTTGGAGACGTGGATGATGAAATTATGTGGGGAATCCGATTCCGATGAAGACAGGAACGGAGGAAGTGAACGGAGAAACAGGAGGAAGAAGAAGATGAAAAAAGGAGGACAAGATACCGCCATGGTGAAGTGCTGCTGATACTGCTACTGCTTGTATTTGGGTCTCCTGTATGAGAGGAAGGAAACTTCATTGTTTTTGGATTTCGTCCGGATAATGGGGTGCCACGTCAGCAAATGAATTGCTGCTATAAATCTGTCCTAATACACTTCGTCATGTCGTTTATGGGAGGAAAGTGCGAGTGCGAGGCCCTATTCGACGGTGGCTCACTTGGACCAACGGTGCTAATGGATTTCATTAACAAAACGACAGAATTCTCTTGTATGTTTCACAAATTCGAAGAATCCATTTTTTAAATATAATATAGAAAAATAATAGTAAAAGGGACGAAAAAATATTTAACCAGTAAAATGATATAAATTATATTATTTAAAATAATAAAAAAACAAATTATATATTCTTTAATAATAAATTTTTATTTTATTTAAATTTTAATATTATATATACCAATTTATTTATTAATATAATTTATGCTATATTATTAATTTTAAATTTTACTCTCAAGTTTTTGTGCTCTATATCACTACACTACTCATAAAATAATATTAAGAGTCTTTTAAAATAAATTTTAAAGAGATTCATTATAGTCTAAATTATATCCAATAATATAATTTAAATTATTAAATAAAAATAAATCTCATTAAATTGCTTGTCTTATTTGAAGGTTCTTTTTCCATACTACAAAACAAGTAACTTAATAAGTTTTATACACACAGGTGAAAAAAATAAATTATTACATAACATCTAATGTTATACACAATGTATCAAATTTAATTAAAATAAAATGAATTTATTATTAAATAATATGTAAAGTTACAAAAAAAAAATTATATAAAAAAAATTATATCTTCGCTATTCTCTAAATTAATATGCTTGTAATTGTTAATTTGGTAAGCAATTACATAAATGTTTTGCGCGGTATTGCTCAAAATTGACTATTGAATTGGTGAAGGCCTCCTAAGTATTGGGGCTTTCTCCTAGTCTAATAATTTTCTCTTTGCAGTCCAAACATAATCAAAATGTCAAAAAATGAGACTCTCTAAATTTCTGTTTAAAAGAAATTGACAATCAGAATCCCCTTTGCAATGAAAATGGATGTGCAGTCTTGGTATTGAAATGTCTCTAAGAATATTATTAATAGCAAGGCTTTTATATATCTCTCTAGAACAGGAAATCACTACTTGTACGTACAGTAGTTACGGGAGAGGGACCTAAATGGCTCTCATGTTTCTAACTGAGTTTCCTGCGGTTGGCTAGATCGGGATAACGTACCAGTACCTGGTTGAGCTAGTGTTCTGATTTGCTACCAACATTTTATAATTGCAGGATTGATATTATCGATCAGTTCTTGTAGGCAGCTTACATTATTGATGACTTCCTCTGAACAAAATCTTGGATTTTGTATATTCAGAAACAGCAAGAGAACATACCAGAAGTGCTTCCAATAGGGACAGATGTATGGAACGTATGAAACAATGGAACGGATATTGGTTGTTGGAGCCACGGGAACGTATGAAACAAGGGGTAATAAAACTGCAGTGTAAGAGGTGGATTACCAGATCTGGTAATGCCTCAATATTTAACCTTTGGATGCTGGTTTTGTGTGTGAAATATGTAATTGTTATTTAGCTCAGTGAGAGCGGGGACATGAGTTTGTAACATATAGGAGTACGAGGGAGGCGTGGTTATTCTCACCAATCAAATTATTAAGGTCACTAAATTTATATTTAATTTAATTGATATTTATAATTTTGTTCTTAAATATATAATTATAATATTTAAAAATATTATTTTATAAATTAATTTTAATTTATCAAGTAATAAGTATTAGTTGTTTTTAATGAAATAAAAATTTTTTTTTTATCAGCCAAAGAAAGATTAAATTATTGAAGCACGGTGCTCCTGCCCATATACAAAAGTAGGAGACCACAACAGAGGAGAGCCAATCTCCTACTAACCAGAAGATGATAAAGCTACAAACCACATACAATAACCAAAAGCGTCAGGTGCCCAAACCTAAACATATGAATACGAAACAGCCCCACCTATCCATCACCTAGAGGTCCCGCAAGCTTTAAAGAACTGCTTCCTCATCCTTTTGTGATTTTTGACAGACTTAGCACATTTCATTGGATAAGATTGCCATTCGTAAAAAGAAAAAACGCAGCCATTGACTTTTAATTTTATCCATATAAATGTTTTAATTTGCATCCTTTCCAGCAAGTTTTTTGGTAATCCTTCATCTTTTCAGAACACTTGAACATTCCGCCTATACCATAAGTACCAGGTGACCACTAGAAAAATACAAGAACCCATCTCCTTGCCAACAATTCTGCCCAGACCACCAATACAAAAATCTGCCATTCCCCCAACTGTTTTAATTAATGAAATAAATATTAATTATTAAGCTATTTTTAACAAAGGAAATGATAGGATTACACTCTAAATTGACACCCTCATTTCTACATATTTGGTTTATTGAATAAAATAGAATTTGATAGGATTTGTGATGCATTAAAGACTTATCCTCGCTTATCTAGGACTATGATTGGTATCCGTTGGCTCCTTTTAAATTCTTAGTAGGTGACTATCATCTGGAACCCAAGATCGAAACAACACCGACCTCCATTTTCTCCGATTGCCCTTCCTTGACCTCCATTTTCTCCAAAACGGCCACCAAGATCTGCCACTAACCTTGTTTTCACCTTCATTTCATCCTCACCTATGTCGAAAAAGCTAAGGTCG